TTTCTAGTAAGTTCTTTTCTCCACTTGGCCAATACCCACCTTTTTTTTTTTTTTTTTTTAATTTTTTTTTAATTTTTAATTCTGACTTTATGTCATATCATCTCTCTTGGTTTCCAACTTAGAATCAGCATATAACTCTCTTTCTAGCTTCTTTCACCATCCAACCTAACTTTTATGCCATTTTGTGGTTTCTAAATCTCTTATTATGGAACATTTATTTAACCGACCTTAATAAAAAAAGACAAATATTACAAACAAAAAAACCATATAAAAAATGACCAAATCTTAATACAAAAAGCCAATTTTATAACAAGAAACAAATAATAATGAAGATTTGTTATTGCTTTTACAAATATAATGATATAGACAGAAATCATAATTTAATTATATAACAACACGATTACACGAGCACAACACCTATACGTTTACTACTGTTCTTCTTCACGTCCATTATTCCAAGGTACGTATATTCTCCCCTTTATGCTTTTCTTCCTCATTTCATGATCATCAATAATTAAATTTGAAGTCTTTTTTTCATCAATTTCAAACGAGCATTTCTTACTTATTTGAATTCATCATATTCCAAAAGAATTTGATTGTTTGAGTTACAAGTATTATTGAATTTACGTGTATGGGTTTCGCAAATTCTTGTACAAGCCGGTCTAACTAATTGACAAGGTATTAGTTTATGTATATATATTTGTTACAACAAGTTTGTTGGTTTTGAATTAAATATTGAGTAAGCTACATAATCGTCTCAAATTTGTTTATTTTGAAATTTTGTATCTAAATGATCATCAAAAATTGGATTTTTATTGTTGTTGTTGATGGGTTTTTATTTATTTATTAATTTTTTTTTCAAGAGGAAATTTCATGCTTTGACTTAATTATTGAGTTCTTTTTTCCGGGTTCTATTGAGTTCTGGTAGTAATTCAGTTTTGTATTTCTTGTGATTTAGGCTGTAATATTTGAGATGGAGGATGATGATGAAGATGACAAATGATCTCTGCTTTTTCCTCTGTTCTTGTTCTCTGTTTTAATTAGGTGGGTGTAAGAAAAAACTATAGATTAGAAAAAATAAATAAATTTACAATCAATTTAATTAATAAAGATGATGATGATAAAAGATAGACAAGATATAAAACCAATATTGATGAAATTTGGTGTGGCATTAGCCTTATCGTTTGCTGGTTTCCTCTATTCTCGAATTCGAATTAAAAGGATCAATCCACCTGATCCCCCTCTTCCTCCAGTTTCAGGTTTGTAATGATCTTTTTGAAATTTAATGATTTTGATTAGTTTAATTTAATTGAGTTTTCATAAGTTTGATTAAAATATGTTTTCTGTAATTTTTTTTTAGCAGATTCTGATAAGAAAGCTGATTCTGAGGGGAGAATCAGGGTTAAGGATGATAATCAACCTGAGATGGATTTAGTTGATGCAGATGTAAGTTTGTTCGTTTCGAAAATTAATTGGATTTCTGTTTAAATTTGATCAGTTGCTTAATTGCTGATTAATGGTCATTAATTTCAAGTGATGTGAATAATATTAATTGGTCAAATGTAGATGAAATCCTGTAATTATATGTGGATAATGAAAGCTGGAAATTCAAGCTTAATTTTTCTTCTTATTTCGAATCTATGAATTTATTGATTGAATTAGGATTATTTGGATTTTCTTGATCGTTTGCTAAGTAATATGTTCTTGTAAGCAATAAAAATCTTATGTTGCGATAGACTTGGATTTTCTCTAATTCTGATCAAATATCATATTATGCTAATAAGAGCATAATTACACCGATTTCCAACCAAAACAAAACTGTTTCACACCGCTGTTACCATGATTTGATTGTTATAAACTTAATCTGTTAATCATGAGTAACATAATCTAGATAATGATATAGATTACAAAAATCATTTACATAGGAAGTAACTTAAAATTTTGACATTCTCTTTATGTATTATTTTGGTAATGCAATTCATATGATGAACTTTTCTATGGCTTTGGACTTTGTAAGCTGAATTATACACAATTGTTATTGAAACCTTAACATGATCGTTGTAACATAAAGCTAAAGATTATTTTGTGAATGTTAAAAAAATTCTTTCTTTCAATATAATACTTCATTAATATTTAGTTAATAATCTGAACGGTTGTATCTAGATGCTTATTCTGACAAGAAATGTTCAATTTTTTTTCATCAAATAATGACTATTCATCGATTTTTTTCATGCGAATGGGAGGCAAGAAAACTCTATGAAAAAGGGTTGGTTCAATTCGATCTTGTCTAAAAAAGAGTTTAACCACAGATACGGGTGTGGATTAAGTAAATCAATGGACAGTCTTGGTCCTACTGAAAATACCAGTACAACGGAAGATCCGAGTCTAAATGATACAGAAAAAAACATTCATAGTTGAAGAAATAGTGACAGTTCTAGTTATAGTAATGTTGATCATTTAGTTCGTGTTATGGACATTCGGAATTCCATCTCTGATTCTTTGACTTTTCTGATGAAAAATTCTTGCATTTTGCTCCTTTAATCAGGACAAGCCATGCATTCGTGTCCGTGTTGATAATTCAGCCATACATGCCTCGCCAAATGGTAGATATAGTGGTGATCGAGATGCATTCTTGTTACCTGAATTTGATCAAGTAGTCAAGGAATTTGATGCTGTAAACTCATCGAAGACTGATGGGGAGAGTTTTACGGTAAAAAAAGATTTGCCTAAATCACTAAGAAGAGTAGAAAGGGATGACTATGAACAAGAGATAAAGAATCTTCAGAAAAGGATAAAGTTCCTTGTAGAAAGAGAAAGGAAGCTTGAGGTTCAGTTGCTTGAGTATTACGGCCTTAAGGAGCAGGAAACGGTGATGATGGAGCTCCAAAATCGTTTGAAGATCAATAATATTGAGACGAAGCTTTTCTTGATGAAGATAGAGAATTTGCAGGCAGAAAATAAGAGGCTAAAGGAGCAGGTTGCTGATTATTCTAAGGTTGTTTCCGAGTTGGAAGCTGCAAGGGAAAAAATCAAACTGCTAAAGCGGAAGATTAGGTCTGAGGCTGAGCAAAATAGAGAACAGATCTTAGACCTTACACAAAGAGTTGTGAATTTCCAAGAGCACGAACATGAGCATGAGGCTAGCACTAGTATTTCTGATGATCAGTCTGAGGTGCAACGACTTACTGAGTTGGAGGCTGAAGCTGAGGAATTAAGAAAGTGTAACGAGAATTTGCAGCTAGAGAATGCTGATTTAGCTCAAAGATTGGAATCTACCCAAATTCTTGCAACCTCCCTTTTTGAAGATCCTGATGTAAGTTTCTCTCCATTCCATATTTCTGACAAGATTTTTCAATTTCTTAGTATTTTTGTGGGAGTTTAGGCTTTTTAGGCATACTGGTGCATGCATACACGTATTCAGGGAGTTTAGGCTTTTTAGGCATACTGGTGCATGCATACACGTATTCAGAACTTGTAGTTTTTGTTATTGTACCGAAATGGTTTAGTGTTTGACTTCTCAAGCTCTTAAACTTACAGAAAGAGGAGCTTCACAAAGAAATGATTCGACTAAGGGAAGAAAACGAGAAGTTGACAAATGAAGTTGAGAGGCTTCAAGTAGATAGGTGTGGTGAAGTGGAGGAACTAGTCTATCTCCGATGGATAAATGCCTGTTTGCGTTACGAATTGAGGAACTACCAGCCTCCACCTGGTAAAACAGTTGCCAGGGACTTGAGTATGTGCTTAAGTCCTACTTCAGAGCAGAAAGCAAAGCAACTAATACTCGAATATGCTAATACTGAAGACGGAGCAAACAAAGAGCCACCTAGCCTCACAGACTTTGATTTTGATCAATGGCCTTCTTCACAGCCTTCTTATCTTACAGACAGCACTGATCACGACGAATCCTCTGGTCCTAACTCTGTTCACAAACCCCACAACAAGAAAATCAAGTTCTTTTCTAACCTAAGAAAGTTAGTTAGAGGAATCTCTAGTCATCACCACCATCATAGTTATAATCATAATCAAGGTAACCAAGTTTCTCCGATGTCTAGATCATTTTCGGTTGATGACATTGGGATGAAGTACTATGGAGCAGGACATAGTAATTCAAGAAGCAACCCCCAGAGTCCAAGATTAGCATCATCTTCTCAAAACTCGAACAACTCTTCAATGGAATATCAACCACTCACAAGCTTGGCTGAAGAAGAAGAGAATGCAAATCGGGTGAGATCAAAATCACTTAGTGGAGTTAGCCATGTGCTCGGAAGAGAAAGACCTGGGGGTTTTTTGTCCTTAGATTCTACACCGGTACAAGAGTCAGATTACTGGCAAAAGTCAGATTTGACAAAGTATGCTGAAGTCTTCAGGGAGACTAGATGGTTGCAGAAACACAAAAAATCTGCATCATATAGTAGTGGATGATTGAGGTAACACAAGAAATCTGCATCCTATAGTAGTGGATGATTGAGGTAACATATAATGTTGACTCAGAATGAACTTAGGACGTCCTGTGTACATAAGAAATATTGGGAATTCATCACAATATCCTCAGCATTTTATATTTGAGGATTTAACTAATTTTGCGTCAAATAAGAATGACATGCTTGGATAATATACAAATGGTTTGCACATACGTAAAGGTATGACTAATATATGTTTGCTGATGATATGTATGGACTTATGTTGCTAAACGAGTGATTGGATTGAGTCCATTGTGTTTTATTACGTAATTTGGTTTCCACTGCGACAATGCTGTGAACATTAGCTGAGGTATTTCTTCATAAATTAGTCAATATAATGAAGTAACAGCCCTGTTTCAAATCTTCTGTGTTTATTTGAGCATTAACATATATTGTAATCAAGCTAAAAACTGCTTAATCTTACTCGCTCATGACTTTTAGCAGTGAATTATACTTGCATTCAGCTCAATTTCAATTTTGTACTGTTGTTTGATTGAAATACACACTGCTACTTTGTTATTATTGTATATGATGAACAAGTTTCATGAATAATTCGAAGATTTATATTGAAATGGTAACATATAAGTTTCATAAACTCAATAGTTACAACAGATGGCTTTGATATGTAGTATCATATACTTGATTACACACTGATTTTCTTGTAACAAGAGAAGTCTTAGATTTTGAGAGCAAACACACTGATATGAAAAAAGCAATGAGGTAAATTTTAAAGCTAGCTCAAGAAGACAGTTGTACTATGTAGTATACAATCTTTGTAGAAAAATAGTTGCGTGCTCGAACACCATTCAACTGATGAGGTCAATGCCTTGAACTATGAGGGCATCGGCCAGAACCTGATTAGCAGCCTCAGAAGGATGCACACTGTCCCAGAACACGTATTGGGTGGCGTTACTGCATGTTCCGATAGACTTAGGATTACATAGAAGTGATGTCGTCTCTATAGTTCCTGTACCACAGCATCCCTTCCTGGCCTCAGCAAATCCTATAAGAGAAAAAAATTCAGTCAGTAAAATCATTGATTACGTTACACAATGTATGTTGTTCGTCGAAGATGTGCTTACCAGATTTTGAGGGAGATTGTACTAAATCGAAGAGGGGCTTGTAAATGTCGAAAATAACAAGTTTAAGGCCAGGGAGCTGTTTCTTCAGCTTAGAAGCAGCTGCATTGAGCTTATTATTGAATCTCTGGGCGTCGGAGTTAAGCCGTGAAACACAACCATTCTGGTGAAATCCAAAGAGTGTGATGGTAGCTGGTATGCAACCTAATGGGGGAAGTGAAGTTGCTCCAATCTTTCTTGCTCCTAATCCATAAAGCTCCTGTAGACCAACACTAAACATTTTGAGTCTCTCATTTGGCAATCTAATAATATATTATCCGTTGGACTAGAATTAATTATCACATTATCCCATATTAATAATTATGACTATGATTACACCAATAGTTACATTTAAATCATTAAGTGACCATAAATTTAGAAATATACTCCGTCTATGTATATTTTAATATATGAAGTCTTAAATTATGTGAAAATTTTTCTTTAACAAAAAATTATGTGAAAATTTTTCTTTCAAAAAAAAATTATGTGAAATTCATTTTCAACATTAATGTGATCATAATATCTAGAATCGAATAGTAGGTTTGGTCCACAAACCACAACTCATAAGGTAGACACTTGGGCAAGTAACATAATTATTGCACATAACGGCCCATAATGTGTGGCTACAAATTGTAAATTTATGACCAAAACTAAAAATTCAACCCAATAGGGTTTTGTGCACGATGTCCTTCCCAACATTTTTTTCAAACAATGTGAAAATAAATATACCTAACCCAATAAATGACCTAAAAATCTAAAATAATTACTCCGGAACACCGGTTTAATATTTTTAAGGCATTAAAAAATTTCGTGTTATGTAAAAGGATTGGGTTAAGTTTTAACAAGTCTAATCTAATTTTTCAAATGAATAATAATAATAATACGAAGTATTAAATCCAAAGGGTCGGGTTGAGTTTTGATTACCTGAACAAAGTTGGAGAAAATTCCAACAAGGTAAGAAGAGTACTGGTCAGGGGTATATAATTTGTTGATGAAGGGATTGACATAGTAATTCTGAACAAAGTCACTGCTTCCAAATCCAGCTATGTAAAGAGCATCCTTTAAGATTGACTTAGCTTTACTGTCACCTGCCACCTTTGCTAACTTCCCTTGGTACTCCTTGTAGTACTCTAATTGTTGCGACAATGGAATTGCGTGCTGCACTCCAAATTAAATTCATTAGTAACTACGATGTAAAATTAAATACGATAGTTAATAGTCTTAATATATAACTATAGATTTTATGACTAATTATAGCCATAATTGTCAATTTATTGTCATTTTTTATTTGGTTAGTAATAGTGTATACCTTAAGATTAAAACTGAAATTTGTAACACTCACTCGTGTATATATATAAATCGATGATTGTTACACAATTACAGTTAACCTTAGGTTACACTATGTAGTTTGATTTTAACACTTTGCTTGTTTTTTTTTTTTTAAATCTTAAATTAGACGCGCAAAGATGAGTTAAATTGTATTTATGCTATATGTTATGGCTGTAACCTTTTTTTTATGAGATTATTAAAAAAAAGAATGTAAAGTAAGGTAGAGTTGACTTTACACTAAGAGCAGCAGTTTTCTCATCATAGCCTGATCCAGCAGATGCAAAATTAGCTCCAATAAGAAGGTTCTTTCCTGATGCTTGTGGGCTTAAGTATGCTGGTGCATATGTTGTGAAGCCCAGAGTTTCAGCTATAAGATTAACATGTTCCAATTTATACATCAAAATTGCCAATAAAAGATAAAACAAATAAGTAAGTTGGTTTACAATTACTATAAATATAAAACATGAATTATGATCAAACTTTGACTTAAAGCAGACTAAAACCCCCAATTAAAACCTCTCACTCCGGCCTCACTTTAATTTTTAAGTCATAAGATACCGATGTTGCAACTAAAATTGGTAGGTAAAGACCAGTGTTACCATATCAACCAATCTTGATACTTAATCACCAAAACCCAACTAGGGTTGTTACAAGTTATGCAACGGATATACCCAACATAGAAATAATGAAGTATATATATATATAAACAAAAGAATGAAAATCAAACTTAATGATAAGGGAGTTAGAAAGTACCAGTAATATCAGTGGCTAATTTTCCATTACAAAACCTTCCAGTAGGTTTATGATTAGCAAAATCCCTACCATAAGGAGGATAATCAGCCTTGAAAATGGTAGCAACATAATCATTGTTTCCTACATCAACTGTTGAATCACCAAATGTGATAATTGCAGGAACTAAACTTGTATCTTGAGCATTTACAAATAATGCAGATCCTAAAAATATTAGACTAAAAACTACACCTTCAAATTTTATGCCCATTATATTTTTTTTATCACTTTAAACTATAAAGTGATATACCAGTATTTTTTATTTTTGGCTTCTTAGAAAGGGTTCAAGGCTATTTAGTGTAGTTTACATTTATTATAAGGGGGGTATATATGGTGAGAGTGTGCATTGAATGGTTGCATTAAGGAGACACTTTAGTGGTTGAATGTACATTCAAAGCTTTGGTTTTTAGTTTTCTTGATGATTTATACTCTAATCTTCTTAACCAATTTTGCAATTATGCACCTCCCTTACTTGTATGATGATTATTCTGAAAGACTGGTTAGCATTATTTGGCATTGAAGGTGTCATGTTCAATTCAAGATGATCAATCTTATCTTGTAATTATGCGGTGATTAATGTGAGAAATTTGGCGTACGTTTTATGTAATCTGACTCGGTCACTCAGGATCTATTTATTTCATCTTATTTGTATGTACAAAATAAGTTCAATTAAAAGAAGTTAAGAAAAACTTTTTTTTTTTGGACATCGTCATATACAGGTAGCAATTTCAAACAAGTTTAGATTAAATATACGGGAATATACAAGTAATTTTTAGACAAAATAAGCTCAACCTTACAAAGCCTTAACTAATCTTCAGTTGTTTAATTAATTTCTTTTACTTGCAACATTTCTTAAATTACGCTTGTCAATTCATTATTTTAAAAACTAATATATTTAGTTATTAATAAGTAAACATTTAAAATTTGATACGATGAAAGTGAAAATTAAGCTGATTAGTTTACAAGATCCCACATAATCATCTTTTCATTAACAATAACAAATCATAAAAATCAGAATAGAGTATGTAGATAATGTATTAGTCAAAGTGTTGTAAGCAAAATATAAAGAAATAGAGAAAAGTATTACTCGTACATATTATTCCGTATACAATATCTTTCAATATACACATACATCAATGAACAACTACAGGGTATTACTCATCAATTTCAAAAAATTGATGCATTTGCTCATGTTTCATAGAATTGTGTGCATAACCTTAAACAATAGTAGTTATAATGAAATGGAGAAATTTGTGTTATACAAGGTTCTTTCTAGATTAGCCAAATTTAAAAAATAAAAATAAAAAAAATGATTCTTACGAGAAGATAAAACGAAAATTGTTCTGATTAGCCAAACATACGACTAATGAATTGAAGTTGAAATATCAACTAAATAGTGGAGTATCATTATTTGATTCATTGTACTAGGAATTAATACTTAGTAATTAGTGAAAAAAGGAATTAGGGGTACGGTCAAGAAGAATTGAAGTTTACACAAAAAATTATTCGGGAGTGTAGGTCATGAACATTAAGATTAGAAATCAATCAAAATTATACTTGTATATCATACATTAATCATATTCTGGATATCGATAAAATAGTTTGTTTCTACTAATTAAGGCTTTATTGTTGAATTTATGGAAATCTTCTTTTCTGTCACAAGAGCTACCAACGTTAAGATGTTATAGCTAAAGAGTAAATATAATGCTACCATTAATATAGTTTTTTTTAATAGCAAACCCTAATAAATGTAGAAACGTGCACATACAACTAACTACTATACATTGTTTTTTTATAACCTTTTTCTTGAGACAAAGACATCCCAACAATTTCAAACATAATATGTTACACTTGAAAATGGTAATAACACTCAAGGTAACAACTCTAGAAATGGCAAAAATTGGAGGGAGAATGCCGTATAACCAAGTGTATGTGCATTACTAGTGCAGCAAGATATATAATAGCAATAATTGAGGTGACTAGATTTAATACAAACACATTTTTGTGTCCTTTTTATAGAGGGGAAGTTGGGAATATAGCAAAATTAGGTAGTTGTGATTGAGATTTGATTGTTAAGCTAGATAGGTTGGAAGATGGTCTAGATAAATATACTAGCAGCAGTCAGCTACTTGCATGTGGTGTAAATTTAATGAGAGTAGTTATAAATATCTTCTATATTGTCAATAATTATGTCAGTCTTTCTTTCATTCATAACTAAATGAAAATATTGGACAGCAGAACAGCTAACTTATATATGCGGGCAATGCAGCTCATGTTGCTTGCCCCTTTTCGTTTTGAAAATTGGAAGTGTATTTGTACGTACAATCGGATTAATGGTACAATTAATGTTACTCCGTATTTTTTATTCGTATTAATTTTTAATTTTTATTTTTGATTTATCTATCGTGTGTAGTTATTATTGTATGTATATGGTACAATCGGGTATAATGTTGATGTTTTAAAACCTTTTTTAAATACTCGACCGAGTAAAAGATTAAAGAATAATAAGATTGTCTTTTCTGGAGGCACTAATCCGCTAACAAAAAAAAAAAAAAAAAATTAAATGGAGGCTAAACTATAAGAGAAGGAAAGGAATAAATTAGATTATATAAATAAATAATATAAATTACATTATAAACAACATCAATTCCGATGTCGTCCAGCGGTTAGGATATCTGGCTTTCACCCAGGAGACCCGGGTTCGATTCCCGGCATCGGAACTTTTCAATTTTTTTTTTCTTAATGATTGGTCATAGTAACGTTTCATTACCCTGCTCTTGCCTAAAATAAAAGTTTAAAACTCACCTAGAATTGTTGCAACTTGCAATTTGTTTAAAATTTTTCTGCTATTACGATTATATATTACATAAAAATTTAGCAGCTAATTCTAATATTCATTACCTATGGTCAAGGCGTCAACTATTGACAACTTAGATAATCAAGCACAATCTTTATTTAAGAGTATCAAGTCTGTACTGACAAGATGAGACTAGGCAGTGGTTTTGATTTCGAGCAATTTTGCAGAAATGCAAGAGGATGCACGAACATGCTTGCACTAGCACGGTTATGTATATGCTTAAGGTGGTTTTTTTGGCTTTATAACTTATAAGTTATGCCTCAGTCATGCATATATTTTTCTTTTCGAAAGTAATTAAAGTGTCTAGGAGATTTGCAATCACGTTATTATACTTAAACTAAAGTAATTAGAAGTAGCTCCCTCATCGAAGCATCAAGCAGAAGAACTAGAACTTGTGAAATAAGTCAGAACAAATGAATGAATCTTATATAGTAATTTAGGAGCTCTTACACAACAAGTTAAATTACTGGAAACATGTTTTACCACATACAAGAATTCTTTTATCTAAAGATCATTCCAGGTAACTACCTTCCCAAAGGACTCATTTCAATCGATGTATCAGTAGTGTCTGTGTCATGGTTGATGTCAATCGTAGGGTAGCGCCTACTAGAAATAGGGTGTTTTCCGACGGGCCCATAATTCCGTCGGAAATTTGGATTTTCCGATGAATTTTGATTCGTCGGAATATTCCGTTGGAAAATGCTTATTCCGCCGGAAAATTCCCTCGGAATTGTTCTGACGAAATTTAATTATGTCGGAAGTAATACATTCCGACGGAATATTCCCTCGGAAAACGTCTTTCCCTACAAAGGGTTTTGCGACAGACTGATTCTGACGGAAGACCTTTTTCCGACGGAATTTCCGATGTTTCCGACGGATTTTTTCCGTCGGAATCAAGTTGTTTTCTTGTAGTGAGCTATATTCATGATTAACCATCTCTTCTTGTTTTCCTCGGATTATCTCAATGGCTAAACATGAAGGAAATGTGTCCTCGACTCTCGTGAAATTACTAATATAATATGGATCGTATTATGGAGATAATAAGTTCGTTTAGTTAGGTCGTCTTTACGTCTTGCTAGAGACCAATATTGATTATTTGGTTAAACCAATGCCAACTAAATGGATCCTATGAGGTCACGCTTTACAATGTTAGGTCGAACAAGAAAACCGAGTCCAAAAGTTGGTCTTAGTGAATGACTGGCCATAAGGAGTAAGAGAGGAATAAGTCCTAATTAGATAATATGATTATATAATAAAGGGCTTGGGGAAAAATAATACAAACGTTCATCTTTCACAAAAGAAACAACGTAATATTATTCTCTTCCTCTCTCTCTACAATCGATTAGAAGTTCTCCATAGAAGAGGAGATTAATCTCTCCCGTCCAACTAGCTTTGGTGGAGGTTCGATCTACGCTTGTGGACCAATAATAGAGGAGCAACAATTGGGACTCTAATCTTTGCAAGAAGGTTGAAGAAAGCTTGAGAATTCACGCATCAAAAGTTAATTCCAAACTATTATGCGATCCTTTATTTGTATATGCATGAGATCCTGTTTAGGTGCGTATGAATGAGATTCATGAAATTCCGCTTAGAGTACCTAAAACCCTACAGTGATATCAGTTAGCGCCATGCATATAATTTATTGGTCACAATATATAATATGACTATTTTGATGTGTTCTATGCTAATTTTAATTCGATTGTTGTAAACGGAACTGCAGAAACAAAAATAATAAGAACAATGTTACCGGGAATGAGACTGAGTCGCGGACAATGTCGCTCTCTTTAGAACATTCACAGTACTGCCTCTAATTTGTGCAAGCTGATCGAACCACAACCAGATGTCCCCCAAGATAAAACAGCCTTTCAAAATAAAATATACCGATGGATTTGCACGGAACCACCAGACAAACCAAGCACCAAAACTTTAAGAAAAACTGCTCGAATTCTGGATTTTAGGAGGAAGGAGATTAGAGAATATATTTCTGTGTATTTAAAATGTGAACAAAAGCGATTTTTATAGGCAAAGCAGTAGCATAACGGTAGCAAAAAACCATTCCAAAAACCAGCATAATTCATGTCAAAACGGTCAATTAAAAACAGTCAGAAAATCAATTTTAATAACAGTCAAAAATTGATTAACGAAAATAATGGGAATTACCCCAGTCAAAACGGAACAGAATCATTTAAATGGTCAGCAATCAAAGTATAAAAAATTAAGTTTGTTTAATAAACCCGACCCGACCCAGCCCATCCCGGCTCGGTTCGGTTCGGCGCGCGTGTGTGAGATAGGTTGGCTTGGTAGGTAAGTCTTCCCTCTCCACAAAATGTGGTAGCCCTTGGGCCACACCCAAGTAATCCACTCCATACATCATAAAGGAGGAAAAACTCTCATTTCCCACCAATGTGGAACTTTGTGTTTTTCACAAAATTCACACCCATACACTTTGTTCCAACATTGATTAA